CGAGGCCCGGCTCCGCGCCGCCGCCCGCCGCCTCGGCCACCTCGAGCGGCGCCGCGCCGAGGAGATGCGCGAAGTAAGGGCCCCTCACACCCCGCTCCCATCCCATCCCGGGCAGCCCCCGCTCCGCCCCAGGCGGCTTCGCACCGGCTCCCTGTGTTCACACCTGTGCGCTGGAAAAAGAGAGGAGGGCAGGAAAAACAGGCAGATGTGAAACGGAACCTCAGTCACGTTTGGACTTCAGCCCTCCCAAAATATACCTCAGGAAGGTGCAATGAGGGAGAGTTCCTAAAATACCCGGGTTTGCCCCATAAATGCAGGCCGCTCCGCCCCAGGCGGCTTCGCACCGGCTCCCTGTGTTCACACCTGTGCGCTGGAAAAAGAGAGGAGGGCAGGAAAAACAGGCAGATGTGAAACGGAACCTCAGTCACGTTTGGACTTCAGCCCTCCCAAAATATACCTCAGGAAGGTGCAATGAGGGAGAGTTCCTAAAATACCCGGGTTTGCCCCATAAATGCAGGGAAGAGGTGGGGTTGGGAGCTGCCCCCCCATCAGCTTGCTGGCAGATCTGCTGTGAACCCGCTCGGCTGTGTGTTTTCTCTCTTCCCAGGTGGAAAGCTACGTGGGTCATGTCCGTGACTTGACAGAGGAGCAAGATGCCCTCAACGCCGAGTGTGAGATGGAAAACGAGCAGCTCCGGCTCGAGCTGGCGCAGCTGCAGCTTCAGCGGGGTAATCCTCTCCCTCTCCTCCAAAGCACAGGCCCAGCAGATGCGTTAACAAGTACTGGGTTGATTTGTTTTGCAAGGGGCCACAGTGTTTTCTTTTATACTTAGTCTCCCCATGGTCTAAGAACACCAAAGCAAAGCTTATTGCAAACGATTTCACCTTCTCCAGGGTAAATTTAGGCCTGGAGGCTAGCGAGGAGCTGATGGGAAACTGATGGCACTGGGTAGTGGTAAGTGAATTTTATTCCTGCGTTTCTGTGTCTTTTCTCATTTTCCCCACGAGGTGGCAGACGAATGACAAAAACGTAATGAAAGTTGCGTTTGCGTTTATTTGCGTGGTGGCTCTGCTCACATCAGTATTTTAACGTTTTTTGATAGCTTATGAGCAAGGATTAGTGCTGAAATTGGAACACAGATCCATGAAACCGACCTCACAACGGTGGGTTCCTAATAGCAAACTAGGTATTCGTGCCAGTATGTCACTGTGGGGTTGGCTTCCATCTGGGCTCTCCTGCCTGTACATGCCAGGAGAGCCAGGCAGTGGGACTGGCGGAGGGACTGGAGTTTCCTTCTTCCAGGAATGAAGGTTTGTCTTCTTCCCGACACATGCGCAACTTCCTTGGGGGAGATATATGGCCATGTTTTCTTGGCTGGTGTCTGACGCAGCTGCATGGCAGAGAGATCAGAGATATCTCTGGAGCAGACATGTCCTGGATCCTGGAGCCACAGCAGTTTCTCCTGGCCTTTTGGCTGTATCCACGTGCATCAACCTTTCCTTCTGAAGTCACTGCTGACCCTGAAGTGGATCCTCAAGTTCTCCTTATGTGATTGCTCAGAGTGCCTGGATGTCCTTGGCCCTGGACAGGCTATGACCCAGCTGAGTTATTTCATGGTCTCTGAACATTGGTTCTCCTTCCTCTGCCAAAAACCATGAGCCATCTCTGGCACAGAGTTGCTGTGTGGTACAGTCAAAGGGCAGTCCGACGTCGGAGTGCAGGATCTGTCTTGATCTTGCTTGCAGAGAAGGGTAGTAGCAGCTGGGAATTGATGGGGAAGCAAATAAAGTCTAAAAAACACTGTAAAGACTAGGGTAAATACAAGAAAGTTTTATGGGCCAGGACTTGGTGCTGAGTGGGCTCATTATTCCCAAGCAGCTCAGATGGAACAAGTTCTGCTTCGGCTAGGATTGTGACGAGCAGTGTGACCTACTGTTTTTGATGATAAAAAGCCAAGTTTAAACCTCTGCTGGTGTGGAAGAGGCCCAGAGAGTTGCTGCAGATCGACTGAAGGACGGTAGCCCACTTTGGTGCAGCAAAATGGTTGTGTCCGCTCACATGGATGTATGAGCCGGGAGCTTGTGGCAATGCTGCTCACATGGATGTATGCTAGGCTTTTAGTTTGTAACAGAAATGAAAGGATTTTACACCAGGAAAGCTCTGGCGTAGCTTGTGCTGTCTGCAGAGACCATCCACTGCTGGTTTTATGTTGAGCCATTGATCATAGCTCTACCTCGTTTGGTACCTCTGCCCACACTGACATTTTTCCTTTCCTCGAGGCAGTTCATAATCCGATTCCAATGGTTCTCATCCCGTAGCCTCGGTGTTTTTTGAGGGCAGATCGATAACTTGCACGCTGCATTACCAGCAGCTTTTATAAAACCAAAGGTAGCAGTAGTAAAATACAGTGCTGTTTATGGCAGCTTAGAAAGCTAAGATAAGCTAAGACAGCTTAGAAAGACAGTCCTAACCCAAGCTAACGCTGTAGTGCTGCTGTATGAAGCAATGCACTTCCATCGTGGTGCCTGGGAACTCCTTGTTTCCTTAAGTAAGGGAGGGGACCTTCCTGGCACGATGCCTTTGCAGATACAAAGTCTGTGGCGTAGCTGGTGCTTGCAAACAGCAATATTGTTCATACAGTTTTGTTGCTTTTCTCAAGTAGGTCATGTTGGATGTGATGGGGAAGGTGTTCCTGAGATGTTCATTTAAAAAAAACAGCGTAATTCTTTTTTACAAGTGGGTAACCTGTGCTGTGTACTGCAAACTCCCCTTATCCCCCCAAACTTTTCTCCCTCTTTAGCAAAAAATGTCCAGACCCTGTTACCTGTGGGCTCCTCTTAATGCATTAGGGGCATGTGGCTAGCTGTTCTGGAACTGCAAAATGAAACACTCGGCTCCTTTTCGCGCAGGGATGCTGCAAGTTGGCCATATTTGACCTCTCCATTGAACGAACTGCAATTTATAATCAAAGGTGAAGGCAAGCAGGAAACCGCAGGGTGTTTTCCATCCCTAGGGCTGGACAGAGCTGGCTGCAGAATGCAGAGTGGAAACATGCGATTGATTTGAGCCTTAGGCTTAGGATTGCACTGGGTCCTCCATTAAATCTGGAGCAGGGAAGTGTGGAGCAAACGTACGTATCCTCTGTAAGAGCATGAGGACTCTTTGCTTAACTTCAGCTCTTTAAATGGTAAAAGAGTAGGACTGTCCCTTGTTTCTCCGTACAAAACCCACAACTGCCCTTGATTCCTGTTTTGTTGCACTAGAACACTTGTGTTCTCCCAGCATTTAAGTTGTCAACCGTGCAAACAGGAGGCTTTTTTTAAATAACAGATTTGTTACAAGTGATCCTCAGCACTGCGCAAAATAGAATTCCAAACAAATAGGAAATATTAGGAATTGTTTTTCTCCTTGGCTTTGAGAAACAACATACCTGGAGGAGTATAAACATGGTCGGATACTCCTTTTAAGTGTGACAGAGCCAGCTGTGGCCATAAACAACAGTGCCCAGCTGTAAGCAAATATCAGCTTCTCTTGCAAATGCCATAGTGGTTTATTTGCTTTAAGAGCCATTCAGTCTTGAAGCTTCACATGGTGAAGAATTGGCAGTAGTGGGGAGTGTTAAAAGAGGATCAGGGATACAGACCTGCAAGCAACCTGGCTTCATTTGTTCATTTACTCAGCAAATTTTGTCTTGCAGAAGCCCAGCTGAAGGAGGCTGAGGAGATGCTGGAGCAGGAAGGCTTGTCTGACATAGCTCGCAGTAACACCAGTGAACAGCTCGCTTATTTACTGGTAGAGAGAGCCACGCTGCTGGAGAAACTGGAGATTGCAGATCAGAAGCTGAATTCCCAGAGCTACGTGGACGGCCTGTGCTCAGCACAGCTTCAGGTACCCCCTCTTTTAGCTGCTGAGGCTGCCTGGGTAGGCAGTAATTAAAAATATTTCTCCTGTCTTTGAGAGTGTCCTAGATTCCTCATGCTAACTCCATTTCTGTATTATTTATACACTTGTGTATTTACACTTACTTTGCTTCCACATCTTGCAGTGGAATAATTAATCAGATAGTTTTTAATGGAGAGAACTTTGAAGAGTATGTAATATAACCTAGTTCTGAAGATCTTCACTGGCTAGTATTCACTTTTTATTAATCCGGCTGTTGCTGTCAGCTAAATACTGGAGCAGTGAGTTCTCTTCAAAATCATAATTTAAGAAAAATTCTCCTTAGTCCTTAAGATGGGATTAAAACTCTTTACTTGCTGTCCAGCTGCTGAACTAGAGAATTGAAGTTTTAAACATTGCTCTGATTAGAAACTGAGTTCAGTGGATACATCTCACAGCAAGACTTAATTAGCTGGCAGGTTACAGAAGATCATCCTGCTGAGACTTTTTGTGGTCCAAAGCTGAGATGAAGAAAACTAAGAAATGACAGAGAGGCAGGAGCTGCTGCACATTGGAGAGGCAATTTGTGACCAATGTCCTCAGTTAGGGTGACCTTCCTTCCAGCAAACCAGCCACACGGCACCGTGTGACCAGAAACGAAGGGCAGAGTTTGTGGGGAGCACGAATACTTGGTGACAGTTCAGTGGAGTCACTCCCCTTGCTTGTATTGTGTGGGACCCAAAAGAGAGGGCTTTTCAACAGATGTCTTTTTTTTCAAAAAGATTTTTTGAAAAAAAGATTTTTTTTTTCCAAGCAGTTTCCTTAATACATGAGTGTCTTTCTCCTAGTGAGGTCATTTATTTCCATGTTGGTAATATATGGCCCCTGATGATGAAGCACTCAATTCTTTTGGTTAGTACCCTTGTTTTACAGAATCATTAGAGTCACAGCACTGTTAAAGGTCAAAAGTTTAATTGCTCTTGTTACTTTGTTAAGTGGAACGTGTAATCTTTTTTTTATATTCAGATGAATTATATAGTTGCTTTGTTTTTATACTTAGGATTCAAATACTTTCCTGTCTGCTAAAGAAATGAATGTAGCTTTTAGCTAGGCTGCTCAAACATAATTGATTTTTGATGTATCCTCGCTAATGCAGAAAGCCAGGATTCAAAGATGCATCGTATTGTAGTTGCCTCTGGTATTTATATGATAAAAAAAGTGCTGTTTAATGTCTGGAAGAGCAGCCGGGCATGTACAAGCACATTTCACCTCTCTGCAAAATGTTGCAAAATCTTAATGACCCCCAACCTCCTGGCAAATCCACAGTGCTGGTGTAATAGGTAGCTGAGGGAATTTCATGGAGATTTGGGATCCCTCTTTAAATATAATGCATGGTAATAGCTTCTTGTTAATCAAGGTGTGTTAAAACTGAAAATGCTACACAGAGGTGTCCAGCAATAGGTGGCAGCGTGTTTTTCGATGGTGCTGATTTGTTAAAATCTCTTTCCATGCAAGGATGAGTTTCATCACATTCATCAGACCTTAGAAGATGAACTCAAACAATGGCGTGAATCCATGCAGTATAATAAAGAGACAGAGAATAAGGTAATACATTTTTACGTTTTTCTTGCTTATGATATGACACCTTGCTATCGTTTTAAGTCATGTCTGTTCTTGAGCTTGCTGTGAGGTTTTCTTGTTTGCTTTTAGCTGGTGGGGTGCGAGGCAGCTCTGAACTGCAGGCTGTGCAGCCAAGTCAGCCTGGTGGTTCAGGAGTTAATTGTCAGAGAGCCAGGGCTAGCATCTTACTAACTTTGGGTCAGGACCGGCTTGTAGGCACTCATCTGCCTTTAATTATAGCCACAAGGAGGTAGAGTGGGTTGAAGTCATGGAGGTGAGAAATAGCTTTTGTTATATAAGCTGAAATGACTTTTCTGCAGAACCTCGGGACAGCAGGTGAAGCCTCTGACTCCAGCACTTCAGGAGCAAGTGCCGACTGGAAGAGGAGGAGGTTGGCACTGCCAGGCAGGCTCGGAGCTACCTCTTGCAGCAACTGTGAGACCGCAAATGCAGACCTACCTTTAGAGTAAACTGTCACAGGGTGTGGTGAAGCCTTCAGCTTGGGAAACCATGTGTATTTTTTTTTTCTCTCTGGACTGGGTGCTGCCTGTAATTATCCCTTCTGGCCTTCAAATCTGTTTGGAAATGCACCTTAATTAACAGCATTGTCTCAGAGAGGGGAAAACAGAGGAACAACTGTGGCTGTTCCACACCTGCCAGGGTGCGCTCCAGCATGTGTCCGTGGTGGGAATGGGCTGACCTGCCTGTCTGCTGCCTCGGCAGCGCCCTGAGCTCCCCTTCCAGCATGTCAGGAGTGATGCAGGGGGCCCGGCTGCATCCACATTGTCTTGTTTCCTGTGGAACATCAAGCACTCGTGTGTCAGTCTTGCAGGGCCGAGCTGGAAAGGGAGCAAGCGCTGCGCGCAAGAACTGAACAAGATCTGGATGAGGCCACACAGAGGCTGCACATGGCCCAAGAGGAGATCCAGAGGCTGACAGGCGAGCTGGGTGCACAAAGAAAGGAGCAGAGCGAAAAAGGTAACAGCTTCTCTTGTTGCTCCAAGTTATTAGCCTGATTTTTCAAGCCTGTTTTTCAGACAAGACTTTTGCCTGCACTTAGGTGAGAATTGCAGGTGTCCTGCACCTCAAAGCCCATCTTGAACAAGAATATGAACCCTTTCTCAAGGCAGTTTTTCTAAACAGATCTTATTGATGAAAAATTCGCTATTGTGGTGATAAGTCACAGAAGAGCTCCCACCCCTAAAGCGAGATGCTTCACTGCTGGCTCCTGTAGGAGATTCCCCCAGCAAACCACTGTGCTTTGGAGATGCCTGTTGTATCAAATAGTCCTCCAATCTGCGGTGCAGAGTTGCAGTGGAGAGCAGCAGGATGTGCTGGGGAAACGTGCTCCTGCCCACACTGCTGTGCAGCAAACAACTCACTTAAGGAGTCTGGCACCCCCTTGGTCACACTTGAGTGTTATTTGTGATACCCATCCTGCATCTTATGCACAGCCCTCGGACTAGTCACTAAACCTTCTAGGCAGCCTCCACCACTGTCGTTCACAGCTTTTTAATCAGAGGCTGGGAAATAACTGCGGAGCCCAGATCAACTTTGTGCATTGATTGGTGTGCGCGCGTTCGTGGGCACGGAGCGAGCGTTTGTGTCACAGCCTCCCGGCGGCACCGCTGCCCCACACCACAGACGGGCTCAGAGCGCATCCCAGCCTGCTTGGGAGCTGCATGGAGACCACCAGGTTGTGTTTTGTTTTGTTATTTTTAAAAAAATCTTCATCTATCAAATTATGAGGCTTTCCAAACTGTGAGTATGGAGTTCAGGGCTTGATTTGCCTTTGTGTTTTATGCTGCTGGGGGTATCGATGTGAAGGATTAGTGTTACAATGTTAGTGACTTTCCTCAAGAGGTGGAGCTGCATGCCTTCTCCCTGTGAAATCAGAGCCAACTGCTGTGTAAATTGATAGGTTTTCTTATAGAAAACTAAATGCCATCTTTGATCTGTAATAAACTCCGCTTAATCAGTGTGCGTTGGTTCTCTGCTGCCTTGTGGCTGCTTGCTTGCATCGAAGGGAAAATATAATACTCCTCCTGAGCACCCAATTCTTGGGTGTTCGTTGATGGCAATTACACATGTTTAAATCCTGTGCAATGGGCTAATTATCTGGTTCTCTAATTTTTCTTTCAACTCAATTAGTAGCAAAGAAGTGCGTAAAAAACATTGCTGAGTTTTGTGTAGAGAAACATGCAAATGGACTGTCACAGCACAACTGTGTCTGTTCTTTTATGTTCTGCTGTGTGGTCAGCCCTGCAAATGCCTGAGAGCTGGGAAGAAGGAGGGAACGAGCAGAGAGAGAGTGGTAAGTCATGCATCTGTTATGGCACTTGGTGATGTTATTTACTGGCAAAGCACATCCGTAATTTGATGAGGACCTTCTGTAGTGATGAATGGGCTCTTCAGCTGAATGAAGTCCTTGACTTTCATTTTAAGTCACAAAACTGAAAATCCAGTGTCAAAATCTCCATTGAAAAGCATGGCTTTTTTTAATGCCAGCTTGGGACAAAGGAAGTCAGTGTGTTTGTCTTTCCCTTGACAAAATTTATGCTGAAAAGGAAAAAAATGCCAAACTGTTTGGATCTCAAGCATGTTTTGCTTGCTCACATCAGCTCTGTCCACATTGCTGATTCTGTTTGGAGGTTGATTTGGGAACGCAGCAAACATGGGTGCAGTGGGTGTTCAGGGGAATTCGCACTTCAACATGACCTCCAACACTGAACTCATGTGACAAGTGCCTGGGGGACCAGTTTGTCACAGCACAAATTAAACCATGTTTGTTCTCTAGTAAGAAAACAGGTCTCACAGCGGCATGGTTTCGGATTGCCTGCTTTGCAGTGGTTTCACAGGGATCTTGGATACTGGGTGAAATTTCTGAAAGGAGGGATTTTAGAGTCATGCTTTAAATGTTTTATAAACTTATTCTGGTTGTTTGTGAAACCTGTATCTAAGTGTCAGAGGCATTTTCTTTGTGAGGTTAGAGGTAGCCTCACTCCCTGGAATAACTGCAGCGAGCCTCCGTAGTGCAGCGCAGTTCCAGAAACTGTTTCTGTGATGGCCTCCCCCGAGCTTGGCAGGGGCTAAGGGACAAACCGGTGCCAGAGCAACCAGTCAGATGTCCGTGTGTCCTCTGTCCAGATAGCACTGAGCTGCAGAAGGCCATGGAGCAAAACAGCAGGTTGGACAAGGAAATTCTGGCCCTGCGAGCCCGAGTTCAAACCCTGGACTTGGAAAGAAAAGCTTTCCTGGATCTGGTGAGTCTGCACCCCCTCGGGACCGCTCTCCTCAGGTAGCCGATAGTCCTGGGGTGGCTCCTGATGCTCAGCCCTGTTCTTCGACCTCCCCTGCCTCTGTATTTCCTCTTGTTTCTGCTCTTTGTGCTCCAGGTGAGCTCTGTTTTACAATTCTTGATTTATGCCCATATTTTGAGATATGTCAGCCTTGTGGTTTTTTTATTTTTATTTTTTTATTTTTTTTTTATTTTTTTGCTTTTTTATATGCCCGTTTTGATTTGCTCAGTGATAGAAACATCTTAATTTTGTGGGGGAGCACGAGGAGCTGGCTGGTCAGTTGGCCATGATTTGATGGTTTCTGGAAGAATCCAAACTCGTCCCTGCCTCATGTCCTGCCAGTTTGAGTTCTGAGTCTCAGTGTGCAGGATTTTGTGTCCTCGAGCTGTAAAAGCCCATGGAAGCTGCATGAAGGGGCTCAGTAGGTGCTTTTGGGTGTGGGGGGAGATAGAGTTACCAGAAAGCAACAGGCTGAAGAGAGGAAAAGTGGCATTTTCCCAAGGACCTGTAGCTCCAGAGACTAGCAGTGCTTTTGAACCTGCCAAATGTGCTCTGTTCAGGACACAAAAAGTCTGCTGAAAAGGCCATGGGCACAGATGAGGATCAATCACAGCTTGTAAAGCTCAGAGCACATTTGAGAAAGCAGTTGCTGCTGTTTGCACATAAGGACTGCAGGATTATAATCTACACCTTGTGAAATTAAACACTTTCTGAGGGACTAACACCTCTCCAGAAGCTACTGGTGCACCAGTGTGACACTGGGTAAATGGCTGGGGTGGCCTCCCAGCTACTGCTCCGACCACGTAGCTGTGAGTGAGTGTCCGACTGAATAAGTGACTGAGTTGCATAGTTACCTGCTATTACATATTGACCCCCTCAGTTTAAGGATAGGATTTAAAGGTGGTCTAAGAAATAGTGGTTGTGGTCTGACTTCCCCTCTGTGCTCGATCCCCCTGGGGAAGAGATGTGTAACATGTAAACGATTGGGAACAGAAATAAGGAAAAATAGCCTACCCTTTGCAGTGTTCATTCCCCCTCTTATTGCTCTCTACCTCTTGAAAAAGTCTGAGGCCACATACCTGTAGCAGCCATGTGCTCTCCTCAGCTTGAGTAGTTAATATTAGTAAATCTGCAGTTCATCCATGGCAAGTTCAATGAGAATCTTAATTCTGCAAGACAGAAAATACAAAATACTGCCAAAAATACGTGGAACTGTTTTTATTTCAAAGGTGGAACAGCTCAAAGAGGAGATCTGCGAGTATCAAAAGAGTGAGAAACAAGGACTTCCATTCCCTGCACCAAATGAGGCTGATGAAGTTGCAGTGTGCTCACTGCAGGTATTTTCAAGGGCCTTTTATTTGCCATTCTGGAAAACTAATTGAGCATGGAGTCCCCATTCTGCATTTCAGGCAACAATTTCCAGTGCAGAAATGCCAATATTTTTCTTTCAACTTATGTGCAAGTGCACCCTGTGCAGCTGGAATGTAGGATTCATTTGGGACTTGGAGAATACACTAATATTCAGTGCACATTAATGCCCTCATCATTTTCATGGGGTTTGGAAGGCTTTGCTCCTACGGGCAGTGGATTATCTAATGTAGATGGTGTTGCTTGATGCAGCTCATGTTTTCAGTTGTCCCATGAATTTGAGTCTTGAGTAGCTTTGGAATGACCTTGTCTTAAGATTTCCATCTTAACTATGTGCTAAATTTTTATTTTCTCTTTAGACACAGGGCACAAAGGATGAAAGGAGGGTTGAAGGAGACTGTGTTCCAGGCCATGCTGGCTTGGATCAAGATGACAGATACCAGGATAGCGAAATACCTCATAAAAGGTGACTGCCATGAAAATCCTTCTTCATCTATTGTCTCTTTTAGTGGTTTGTCTGCCTCTCTGGGCATGGGTATTCTGGCTTACAGAGTGCATTGAAGTGTTGGATTGTTAATATTCTGCTACCACCCTTGTTCCTTTGCTCCCCAGTCAGAAAATTTGGAGGTGATAAAGTTCCAAGTGGGTGCCTAGCCCTTGGTGTCAGTAATGCAGACTTTCCTGCTGCATGTTTTCTGGCACTTTCTCCATTTTTTTTTTGTCTAAAAGAAGAGGTGTTGGGCTTTTGTGGCAGATGAAAGCATTATTTTCCAACTTTTCTTGCCACTGCCAGAGCCTCAGTGATGTGATGTTGGTCTTTGCATAGGTGCCAAGAGGTGACTGAAAACGTCGAGGGCAGGAATTCACAGCTCCTTTACAAGCTGCAAAAACTGGAGCAGAAGCACGAGGGTTTGGCTGAGCGCAATGAAGAACTGGAATCTCTTCTAGGAGATGCACAGATCCAAACCAAGCAGGAGAAGGAGCACTTTGAGGGTGAGGTGGAAGAACTTCACCAGAAAGTAAGTAAGAGATGGAAGAAACACTGTTTGGGTTTGTTTAATTACAGCTTTTTTTGCTGTCCGTTTGTTGACTGTTAAAATAAAATGACATTTGGCCTAAAGCTGCACACTGCTTTGTTTAGTTTGATCAGAAATACAACTAACAAAATCTGCTGGTTTGAGAAAAGAAGGGGAAAAGGAGGAAGTTCACAATCTATAGATGGCACTTCCTTGGGAGCGCAGATCCCCGCGTGATTGCGGCAGCGTTGTCTTTGCCAACCTTCGTGTTCACCCTTGGCTGTTTGGGCACTGCTAACAAGTTTACTCCTGCCTCTACAAGAGTGAGATCAGGCAACAGGCTGTGTGCGTGGGCCACATGCCCTTCGGTCTCTTGGCTCAGTGGTTCCCGTGTGGAATTGCACCATGTTTTTCTCTGGAGCTGTTTCTTCTGAGCCTCTTGCAGCTTGCCAGGCGCGGAAGCCCTTTGCTCCCCTCGGAGGCTGTCCTGGATAGCACCAGTGCTCCTCGCAGACCTCGCCGTCGGTCTCCTGCAAGTACTTTACCACCTTGGGCAGTGGTTTCTGCTATCTGTGCTGCCTACTGAAGAGCAAGTTCCAGCCCTGGGTCTGTTTGGGGCTCAAAGCAGAGGCACAGTTACCTGCAAGAGTCTTTTTTTTTTTTTTTTTCCTGAAGCCTGTGAATTTTGCCTCATCTCTGGTAGGGAAGGCCAGGCCTTGCTTTCAATCCCTAGCCCCTCTCTCTGCGAGTCCTACAGTTGAAAAAGGTCACTGTGGGACAGAAGTGCTCCTTGATCTCAGGGAAGATCTCTGTTTAAGTGCTCTGGTGACAAAAGATTGCACTTGTCGTGTCCCCCCAGCGCAGCATCTCGGGGACCTGCCAGCACCTTGTGACAAACAGCGAGGCAGCTCTGGGTGCATGGACTCTTCACTGCCTGTGGGCAGCCCTGCCTGAAGATACCAAATTTGAGGGGACAGGAAGGTTTTTTTTCCTCCCCACTTGTTATCCCTTGCTGCAGCTGATGTTGAATGGCATGGGCATGGCTGGATACAGCTTTCTGGAGAGCTACGATGTGGAGATATTTATCAGGAGAAGCTCTGCTCAGTCTTGACCAAGAAGTGATTTTACTAGAGTTTTTCCTAACTGAACTGTTTCTAACTCGGTCTTGGGTACCCTCCACCCAGGGC